TATTGCTGCTTTTTGCAAGTCCCCAAAGATTTTGCACTTTTTTTTTACTGTCTCCTCTACCACACAAACTTAGAAATCACCTAGTTCTCCATGCACATCAAACTCTAAAATTTCCAAGAAAATTTCATCAGCAAATTTCATGAACACATGTCTGATCTTTCTGGAAAGGTTAGTATGACAGTATGAAGTTATATTAGCTCAGAACCAATACCAAAGTATCATACTGTTCCTATTATTAATTTTCATCTTTCACTTGTAGTTCTATTCACTTTATATTTTCAGTCCTGCTTCCCATCTTATGTGGATTGTCCCAAATGATAAGAAAGCAAATATCTGAAGAGTCCAGTTTAGAAAATCAAGTTTTTATTCCCATAAAGCTCTCTGGCTAGTCTAGTAGACTACTCCCTCTGCTAAGCCTGTATCAGAGTATGTCCCATTTTTCACTCACTGCTCTCTCTTATTACTGACTCCTTCCACATTTTTTTAAAAGCTATGGTACAAGTTTTCACAAAAAATAGAAGTTTTTAGTTCCTTGTGTATCATTCATTTGTAAAAGAGGACAAGTAACATTTGTCTCTGGCACTCTTTGTCTTATTCAGTTTCTCAAAGCCAAACTCATCTTCCATGTGAAGACTTGATTTTGGTGTTACCACAGTTCTGGCAGAAGCAGTGGCTGCTCATCATCTGAGCATCTGGACAAATCCATTACTGGGAAAAATGAAGGCAAAACATCCCACCAAGACAACCTGAGCCCTATGTTTGCTTCAACTTTCAATCAGCCCTTATGCTACTCTGACATTTTTCCTATAGCTCCAAATACTGAAAATATCCCTCTGAAAAAGAAATTCTAAAGGCATGAGAGGGTACAGAAACAAAGAATAAAAATTCATATCAGCTGGAATGAAAAGAAAGGATGAATAAAGCTGCCAGTGTCAGTGCCTGACAGATTTAAGGAGTCACTTCCAAGAATGATGAGCTGAGAGAGTTTCTTGGAAGAATGGTGTTGTGCCGAGTCCTAAAGAAAAATGTTACTTTCCGTGGGTCTGTGCTATTTCATGGCAAGTGTTTTCATCATACTTTCCATTTTTAAATAGCTTTGTACAAGTTATGAGAAATAAATTACTTAATCAAAACAGAACATCTGTGTTTGACAGAATTATTAAGAGTCCGTATCTTTCACTTTCTATTATTTGCCTTCATCCTTGATAAAATAAAGACTTAACAAGCTTTCTTTAATGAATTTTAGAAATGTGATCTATTGTTCTTTAGTTGTACATGAGCTACCAAGGCTAAAAGTGGTCCTCTCTCCTGGATTTTTTAAAGATTACTCCTTCAGTCTCACTTTTCTTACTGAGACAGCTTTAAAACAAATTTACCTTGATACGTACAAAAATCATCAATGTACTACAAAGTGTCCAGACTTCTGGAAGGGCTTCTCTAGGATAGTGGATGAGCCATGGCATGCTGGGGCAGATTTCTGCAGTGCCAGGGCATGCACAAGTTCTTTGATGGCTCCATGGCTGGAACAGCTTCCCTGCAGCACGGGCACAGAGTAATTCACTCAGCAGAGGTGAATCATTCAGCCAGCCATTGTTTCCTTCTGTGGGCTTGCCTTGAAACCTTTGACATGCTCTTTTTTGTTCCTCTTGCAGAGAAAATTTCCTTGTTCTGTTTTGTTTTATTTATCAAAGTAATTTTTTGGTTGATTATTGTGCAGTTACAGAATTAGGGTAATAATATCTAATTGTACATCTGAAGAAAAAACACGCAATTGTGGTAGATTCAATTTAAAGAAAGAAAACCCTTCTACCAGGGTTTCTTGTGGTGTACACAGTGCATTTGCCAGGCAGTGTGGCTTTGATTGCATCTAACCTGCAATTAGAGTGAGCAATTAAGACAAAATTAACGTGTGCAATTGCATTATTCCAGGATTTAACAGTAGCAATATTTAGCAGCTACTGTTAGTGGATACAGTGCTCATAAGATGAAATAATTACCAGCATTTACCAGTTGCACCACAGAAAGGAGGACAGGAATGAGTGGGCTGTACCTGCAATATCTGATTTCCAACAATTGCGTTTCCACACATCACTCAGTCACTGAAAAACCATGGAAATAGCCAACAGGCAAGAGAGGCTGGGCATATTTGGCACTGTTGAAAACATGGGACTCAAGTGTCACTTTTAGATCACTTTTGGCTTGTCACAGAGATCATGCATGACCTAACTCAACATTCAGTAATTCTGAATTATTCTCCTCTGCCTTCAACATTTCATATCAGTTCTGTAAGCCTTATCATGATATCTGGAGTTTTAAAAATAAAAGTTATTTGAGCGTGAATCAGTGCTGTGGGCTGTGTGTATGAGGAAGCCACAGGCACATAACAGGTTTTACATACTCTCACTTGGCATTCTGGGAATGCAACTCTACCAGTTCTTAGGCTTTTCTTAAAGGTCGTTTCTTGTCCTTTAAGGACAGGTCAAATGATATTTGAAAAGCATCTTAATGCATCACTGAAGGATACAAATGAAAGTACATTTCAATTCAGTCTCACAAAAATAAAGATAAATCTGAATCTCTAGGCATGAACATAGAGCAGATAAATTGAGGTGTTCAGAGTGCCAAACTGGTGTTGAAATGAGAGATTCCAGTGATAAGACTCGGGGTCCAATCCAGCAAGGGTTTACAATTAAATCAGTGGGAGTTAGGAGCGCTAAAATCATATGTAGCCAGACTCTGATGATTAGTGCTCATTTATCACAGAAAATCATAATAGAAGTCCCGAGACAGGGACTGCTGGCTCTGGGCACAATGATTTATGTGGGTGATTTTGCACATGGACCCATCACAAAATGCCCAAAGTTCTCACAAGACGCAGCCACACAACTAGGAATAAAATCTGCCTCCGTGTCCCTTCTGTCTAAATATTTCTTTCCTTTACTATTGAAAAAAATATTAGAGGTAGACACTAAAAATTACAGGCAACAAATGGATCAGCCTCTACACTGATTTATGCATGTACCTCACTACTTCCAGAACTCTGTTTAGCATCCTGAGTGATGGACCTTGCCAGTGACTAGGAGAGAGAGTTCATGGGCCAATCCCAACTGGCTAGAATAGCAAAAAAATAATAAAAATTAAATGTCTTTTTGCACAGGCAATTTAGCTTCTGCATTTCAAAGCAAGAGTAGGATAAATTGTGACATGTTTTCACCCAAAATGTTTATTAAAGATGATGAGGGCACAGCACATAGATGAACCACATCCTGAAGGAGGGTTAAACTAGGTTTCACATTTTAAAGCTGAAGTGCTATTTATCTGGAGTGCTTAGAGGTGCTTCTACATTTCTATATGCAGTTTTAGATTGACAAATGACAAAGACAGCCTGTATTTATAAGGGTGTCATTTACTTCACTTTTTATTAAAATCACCAGCTACAAAATAGACATTTTGTACATACTACTCCTACATAAGCAACTGTGAGAAAATTGCATTAGTCCTGAAATGAAACCATCATATTGTGCACCCGGGGTCAGAAACAATGGAAAATATATGGAGACTGGATAAGGTGCTCACATCACACTGGTAGGCTAGCCTATAGCTTCAAAGAAATCAGTGCACATGTTGATCAGAGACTTATTTTCTGCAACTATGGAAAGAGTTCCAGTTTTCTCTCATTCAAAAAATACTATAGCCACTACTGCTACAGAAAGGAACTGTGTTAGTTCCTCCTGACATGTGCCCTAAGTGTTGCAGTGTCTGGAAACAGAGAAACACACTAAGAACGTGAAGAGAAACAAGACAGTAACACTTTTTTTACAGTGCTGGTGTCACAAAACACCACGGACCAAATTCTTAGCCAATTAAAGGTGTCATAACTTTCTCCATGAATCAAAAAACCACGTACTCACCAACAATCTGGACCATAAACAAAACATCCTGACACGGTATTCTGTCTTTCCCTTCAGGGTAAAAAGAATAAAGAGAAGGAGAAGGGGTAATGGTCCTGTCTAACTCAAGATAAAAGAGCAAAGTCATCCCCCTCATGCAGCATTCCTTGTGCATTCTGACCTCCATCCCAAGTGACAGGGAGGCAAAAAATAAAAGCCTTCTGGGCCCTGAATTTAGGCTTTCCAAGATCAGGATAACTGGTATAGCCAGAAGCACATACCATCAATAAATGATGGACTGATTTCTGGGTACTGAAGTGCAAAGCCCAGGGGCCACATTGTAATATCCATTTTATTATCAACATGGGTTTTGCTTAAAGTCCAGTGGATCACTATGATAGCACAAGTATATCCAGTTCCAGGATAAAGGTTAAAGGCACCTGTCAAGGGCTGTAGGTGACCCTTAACTATTGCTCTGACACTGTGACCTCCTTGGTTATCATGACCTTCTTAAGCCTTGCACACCATCATCCTGGAGACTGGAAATAGGAATTTCCTGCAACACTGGATCCTAGTACAATGTAGGAAATGGAAACAGGGAAGCCTTGTGTTTAAAAACAGCTTTCAGGAGGACAGAAAACATTACAGCAGAAAGGTTCATACTGGTTAGTGCTACCTCAAATACAGAATTAGGAACAAGCAGCAAAACATTAACGTTGAGTAGATGCTGATTACAAGGTGAAAGACATGGCTATTTCCATTAGCTTGCTGCAACAACTTCATCAAAAGAAATACATTTCTAGCTTTATAAAATGGTTAGTTTTTATGAAATAAAAAACAGATGAAAAATATAGTTTAATTCTTAACACAAAGTGCAGAACTTCATTTTGAAACTTAAGATTGACCAAAAACGTTCAAACTTTTCATATCCTAAAATCATAGGAAGACCTTCTCTTATCACCACTACTGTAATTTCAGAGGAAAATTATTATACATTTATAATGTAAGATCATTTTGTCTCAATTCTGTAGGAAAATACAAACAATGACAAATAAACAATTTTTTATATTATTAATATAAAGTCACCATGCATAAAAAATATGTATCTTCTGGGTAAATATATCTTTTTTTTTCTCTGTTAAAATTTTAAAGTGCATCTAAAATCTTTTAAATAAATCTTTACTGTTTAAAGATAGATGAAGGTGAACAGCTATTCAGAAATGATAGGTAACTCCTGTTAACAAAGAAGTTAGAAGTTCTAAATGCTATTCAAATATTTCCAGCTCTCCTAAAGTGGTGATATTTTGAGTGGGCAAACACTGACTGGACCAAACGACTGTGTTTCATCAGAATCACAAAATCCTGTGGGTTGGAAGGGACCTTAAAAGGTCATCTCTTCAACCTGCTCCCAGCAGGGTCAATATTGGTTACCCAGGGTTTTGTGCAGGAGGTTCCTGCAAACCTCCCGGTGTGACGACTGCATTGAGCCCCATTGTACTGTCTGCCTCTGCTCACAGCAGAAAACCTGGGCAATCCACCTAGTTAGGTGGCCTTGAGGAACTCATTTCACACAAGTCCACAGTTTCCAGTCTTATCATGTTAATTACCAAACTAAAATATTGACAGAGTAGGTAAGAGAATTAGCTAGCATCTTAAGGCTCACTGACAAATTCACTTGTAACAGCAACTTCAGAGGAATTTTGCCTGCATGCATAAGTGACCAGTTTGAGCTACACTGTGCACAGGCACCCAGTAAATAGCTGCCTTTCCTGGGACATAGACACCATTTTCAGAAGCACTTCTTTCTTGAAGAAACACTTCCTAGAATGGCAGCAACGGTGCTGGAAGCACCAGCCTGCCCCCCAGCCCCTGTCAGCAAATACTTTCCTGTGAAGGGGTGTTCTACCTGCAAAGCTCTCAACACCAATCTGTAAAATGACACTTCCCAAACTATATGTCAAGCTTTTTGCTACCTTTCACAAAACAGCACCAGAATGCTGCTGGCACTCTCCCTCCATCAATATCACACATGAGCAGCACCTGATGCTGTGGAGCTACAGCTACAAGTCCTTAGCAAGAAGCTCGATTTCATCCAGCAGGAAGTCCATGTCCTCTCGGCTAACTTGCGGGCTGATAACCACCTGGCGGAAGAAGTTGACTTTGCCCCAGTGGGGCTGGTACCCAAGCATCATGCTGCCCTTCTTCATCATCCTCTCCTTAATTATAGGAGCAACCTGAAAGTAGAGACAAAAAAAAAAAAAAAAAAAGGTTTGAGGTCACACTCAGAAATACAGCATGTTTGGGCAAGGAATTGAATTTTGTGAATTTAAAAAGTTTTTCTGAATTGAGTTTTGCACTCCTCGCCCGTCTTCCCCACTGCCTGCCCCAAGGAAAGCCAAGGTCAGACCTCCAGGTTTAAAGCACTGAGACCCTTGTGTTCTGTAGTTCCTGAAAGAATTGGAGCAAGATCTAAACCCTGGGCTTGAAGCATTCATCAGTGACATGGGAAAGGTTGGGTTAAGGTCCCTAGTCTTCCTGCTTTAGATCAAAGGTTTGAACTCAGGAAGAACATCAGCTGCAGCTGGTTAAAGGCAGGGTTTGTCTCCTTCTGCTAACTAGGCTAAGCCTGACTTCTTGCCCTTGATGACCCTTCTCCACCACATCTGCACAGCAGCTGTCCCTAGAGGACATGCTGCACTGAACCCCTGTGAAACTCAAGTTGCCAAAATAGTCAGTGTGATGCAATATTAAAGGCCTGATCCTGGCACTTAAGATTTCATCTCGTAGATTTAAGACATGAGCAGCTTTCGGCTACACCAGTCTTTTGTTGCATGGGATGAAATCTCATAGCTGTCTTACTGCAGAAAAAACCCAGTGTGAGTGAGTGAGACTGGCAGAGTCAGGTCCTGATAGCAGAGCATTTGATCTCATCCCACTAGGGAGGTTAACTCTGGCCAATTAAACTTGTGCATAGCTTAAAGCATGTGAGTAGTTCTGCATTGTCATGCTTGAAATAGGTCATAAGCTTAAATGCATTGCTGGACTATTCCTTGGAAGGCAGAACCTTCCAAAGTATTCAGTATTTTGACAGGAGTATTTTTTAAAAGGTCTTGCATTTTAATATATTAATAATAACACCAAGGTATTTTCAGAAGAGTGTGTTCATCTCCTTCTCTTTGCAATGGTTTGACTTTGAAATAAGAAAATGGGTGCGTGACCTAACCTTGGTTTCTGCATTAATTTATTTCAGCTCTGAAACTTTATACCTGATTTGCAAAAGAAAAATGATGATGCCAAACTCCCCTAATAGCTTTATTTTTACATGACATATTTCACTAGTCGTTTTGGCTTAGATAGAAACAGATAAGGCTCTCAACACTAACAGCTTAGCTTTACTGTGTTTCTTTAGTGGCCATGTCCCCTGAGAATGGGTCACAGCAGCAGAGGAGCAGCTGCCATTTCCTCAGAACAACATCCCAACAGCACAGATGTGAGTTGCAGCTAGCTACTTCTAAATGCATTCATCTAGTTTGCTTGTGGGCGTAGCATGCAAATTAATAACCAATTTAATTCTATTTCTTCAATAAAAAATAAAATAAAACCCTCTCTGCTTCAGACCAAACATTCCAAACTGCACCCACACCAGCTGTGTCCTGACATTACCTCGACACCATGACATTGTGCCCCAGAGGTGTTGTGCTGGGCATCATGTACATATAGAAAAGAAAAAATTCCTCCACCCCAGTCCTTGAGAGAGCCCCCAGGTGACTTCTACTCATGGAATAAAGACACTACAAGTGCAAGGGGAGAAGTGAATTCTTCTTAATACACTTTCTCAGGCTCTTCTTTAAGATTCAAATCCCTATGGCAGCTTTTAGCCTTTATTGATGTTCCATCACAGCTATTTCATCTTTTGTATCACACTATTGATTCTCTTCATCCCAACACCTGGCGCTCCATAATCCATCATCCCAAAATGTGCAGTAGCACAAACAGAGGCCATGAAAGCAAAAACATTTACAGCTTCAGTAATTTGAGGACTGTAAATATACTGCATTTCAGTAGCTCTTCTCTTGTGGAAAGGAAAGGTAGAAAAACTTAGCTTTTGTAACCTCATTTATTATCTCATTCAGCCTCCATGCTAAAGAAGCTGTCCTCTTAATTTGGAGTGTATTCATCCCTTTTTGAAGGCAAAAGAAACTCTTCCTACATAAAACAAAACCAAAAACTGATTTATAAGTTTTTCACATTATTAATTTTGGAAAGACTTTCCATCACATATTTTGCATGTTCTTTTTGCTAAAGTGGTGCAGTCAGTGTAACAAAACTGTCAAGGATCCTATCTACAGAAAATGGTAAGGAACAGAACCTATGTTCAAATTCTTAAGCACATGTCTCACAAAAGAACCATTAAATGATACCTGCATGCTGAGGCTTGGACTTGAGTAGCATGGGGTATGACTGCCAACAGAAGGGAAAGGCAGCTACCACTTTGCAGCAGAAAAATTAGACCTGTAAGAAACTAATTGCCTAGTGAGGAGTTCAATGAGTTTAATTCTCACTGAAGTCAATGAGAAATGAGGATGCTCAGATATCAGAGAGAACTGCACAGCCCCATTCAGGATAGGCTCCTTGGAAAGCAATTTAGTAAGAGTGAGATTGCTTCACCAGTCCAATTATTTTCCTATGGAACTTAGTTCAAATTGTAAATCTAATTCTTTATGAGGCCCATCCGTGGAGCAGTCTCAGAATTTTAAGTGTAATGCATCCTCTTAAACCTGAAAGTCTCTTCTCTCCTTTGCTCCCTTCACCCCTTTCGTCCCACTGCTAGCCTCCCCTGCCAAGCCACCCTGGAGACTATTGTTCCAAGCACTCACTGCAGCAGCATAAAAGCTATCAAACAGGTTCTTCTTCCACCTAGGGATGTGGGGAGGAGGTGTCCTGTGTAGAAGGCCATTCTACACCGAGTTTCCCACACTGTACTATGCAACCAGAGCCCTGGGAGACAGGGTAATCTCTTTTCCCACTCTCAGCCAGCATTCAGCCACACTACCAACAATAAAAATTTTAGCCCTAAACTTTAAGCAGTTTCTATCCAGTCCAGACCACAGCTGATCCTCACACATATTTACATGGAAGATGCCAAAGTTTCTTCCCAGCACATATACACACAGAGCAGTTAGGATAAGTAGCTGGGATCAGCTTAGACTCTACAGCTGAAGTATCTCGTGCACCAGGGGGATCAGAGGAGCAGCGTATCTCCTTCTCCATATCTCAAGTATCCTTGAGAAAAGTGACCCTGTACAGTCACACCACAGGGACAACATCTACCTTTAAACTACTGTGTCCCACTAATTGACTCATCAGTGCCATTTAATCCAAATTTCTCCAACACTTTAACAATCTCCATCAGGCTCAGGTTATAACAGGGTAACACACTTCAGCAATCACTATTACAGACTGACTCAACAAAAGGATTGAACATATTCTCAGCAGGAGAATCCCATTCCCAGTGTCTCCAAGAGTTAGTTCCCAAATTTAGACAATAAAAATCTATTCAGAAGACTTGATGAAACCCATATTTCAGAAAATTTCTTCTTCCAAAGAGCAAAGCCTACAAAACCATTCTCACCTGGGTCAAGCTCTGCAAGCCTTGTTCTTAGGCCAGGAACAGCCTTCTAGCACATGGATTTGTTGTGCAAAGGGAAACCTTCAGAGCAGCCCTGTTAAATAGGTAATGTTCTCACTCCATTAATCATGGCACAGTATTATGCTTTAGAATTCTTTCACTCTTAGCTGCCTTTTGGTGAACATTGTGGATATTTGTAAGAAGAACTGGTTTGTAAATTTTATTCTAATAACAAAACAAAAAAGAAAAACTGCAGTAAAATAACACAGTGCTTAATTTGTTCAAAGCACATAATCTCATTGACTTCTCAAATACATACCCCACTATCACCAGTGTGTAGTTCAAGTCATACACTTAGCAGATTCCTTTTGCTGCAAAGGAATAGAACAGAGACATCTGGCTCCCCTGTTCATACGAGGTAAATGCACTGAGACCCCAGCCCCAACTTCACTGGTGCTGCTGGGTTTGGATAGCCAAATAACTTGCCCTGAAGAGAAGCAGAATTTCCCCCAAAAATATGCTATCTTGTTCTTTTTTGCTGAAACAAAGAAATCAGCACCTACTGGTTTTAATTAACCCCTTCCTTTTCTGCACTAATATTGTCCCTGACAATTGCAATTTGCAGATATGCTGAAAGTGCAAGAAAGCTCAGGTTCAACAGCTGCAGACTGTTTTGCTGAAAATGGAAGGCCATGTCAACTTTGACTGTCTTTCTCTAGTACCCTCCTTTATTCTGTAAGTGATCTCATTTTAGACCTAATTGAGTATTTTCAAACTGTCCCATCACAAATGATATTCCCTGCCCCTGACACCGTGCCTCTGTTACCTGAATGCCACCTGTACTGCCCTCATTCTCACAGACTCCAGCTGGATTTCTCTAGTCATGCCCGATGTTACATATCACAAGAGTTTTTCCAAACTGTAGGCTAGAGGCTAGAAGCTTTAAAAGCAACATTATGTTGTTTGGGGTTTTTTTTTTGTTTAAACAGTAAGGCAAAAGGAGTGAGTTGCAAAATTGCTAACAATGCTGGGTAAAAATATTCTGCTAAGCAATGAGTTTATGAAAATACATTGCTTCGGGGGGGAAAAAAATGTGAATTTGAAAAATAGCCTAAGATATCATCAGCCAAAAAAATAAAGAATCCAGAAAAGACTAAACTTTTTCTCAATTTTGGAAACAAACATATTTTGAGTATTTGTTTCAAAATGCTGTTTTCAATTAAAACTGAAATTCAATTGGAAATTGAACCCATTTTTATTAAAGCCCATAATAAAGGACTGAGAAAATTGAAACTATGCAAATTGCTTCATTTTAACTTGCCTGAAAACAACTTTCTGGTCAACTAAAACCAAGAATTTCTTCCAGTTTCTCAATTCAATGGCCAAGCAAAAAAAAAAAATCATTATTTGTACAAACATAAGTATGTGGGATCAAAAGTGCTGACACTGCTTAAATAAAACATCTGTAGAATCTTTGCCCCTCAGAAAAAAAAGAAAGTATGAGAAAACTCATGGGACTGCCCATTCTGTTGGCAAAACCTGTCTGGACATCCCATGTGAACAGCTTTGAGTAGTGTGGATGAGTCTAAATGTGCTGACCCAGCA